CGACAGGGCTTGTATCCACTAACGATTTTGAATGGCAGAAAAAATGAGGGAAAAGACTGATAAACTACTCACTAAACGTAGTATTTACGGTTCTTTTTCATTCCAAATTTATTCATTTATTACAGCCTATCAAAGTCTACTGCTGAACATAGGTGTCCTCATAGATATCTAATAATAATAATATTAAGTTTTTTCATCATATCATAAACACCCACGCCTGTCACCCAGAGGGGTAGGAGGAGACTACGGACTTCCATTTGGCACGATCCTGACATACCTCTTTCGCCTCCTTTACATCCATATATCTACGCATACATGCTCGTCGGTTAAGGGTACTTCTAACGTGGCCCCTTTTCAAAATATCGCCAATTTGGTCGATAAACTTTTTTCTAGGGCGTCCCTTCCCGACTCTGCCGTTCACATCTGCCATATAAATTTGCTTTATCACTCTTTCCTCATTCATTCTTTCTACGTGACCAAACCACCGAAGCATTCCTTTCTTAATCCTGGTCAAAACGTCATCTTGCATAACACATTTATCTCTTATCACGCAATTTCTCACCCTGTCATTCAGATTCAACCCTAACATACTCCTTAAAGACCGCATTTCTACAGCATTTATTCTACTTTCGTGCTTCTTCTGCCACACCCAGCTTTCACTACCATACATTAAAGTAGGGACTAACACAGCTAACAATGCTATAAACATTACTAATATTCCCCTTAACCACTCGTGGTAAGCTTAAATTGCTTGTGTTACGAGTGGTTCACGCCAGTAGTCGAATGGCGGATTCGAACCCACGACCTTTTTGAGTTTGCGGTCCGCGCCCTGCCATTAGGCTACTGTCGCTATAAATGATCTTATACTATGGCATTAGATGGGCTTATACTAGGACAGTAATGTCATCTATGAGGAAACCTATGTTCAGCAGTTGCCCTAGTAGCTACGTTTGACAGGTGGGTTGGCAACAAATGCAGCTTTTTATTTCCTCAAAGACGCTACTCTGACGCTATAGAGTAAGACAAACAAAGAGACGGTTCTCTCTTGGTTGGTTTTTCTCTGTCATTTCTTACTACACCCATGGGACGATATGAGGTAGTGGATATTACACCATCGTCACTATACGAGCTCACACTTTACTCACTTTATAATAATAATGATACAGTTTAGATAATTTTCATCAGGTCAACGTTAAACACGTTACCATAATGTTTAAACGTATAAACTTCTTTACCACCTTAGGTAAGACGATGGTTACTCTTTTGATACCCTTAAATGTCCATAATAGGTCATCTTCTTGCATAAGGCGGTGGCAAATACTACTTAGTGCGGTCTATATAAATCTAGAGCAAGAAAATTAAATTTAATAAAAATTGTTTTTTATTAAGTGACTTTTTAGTTGTAGTTTATTAGTTTTTCTAAGTTAACAATAAAATTAAAGTTTAGGTATCATACATAGATATAAAATTATGTAATATAAATACAAAGAAGAGCAATAAACAATTGAGACATCTTCATAAATAGCTTACTACAGAGTAAGAAAAGCGACTATAATATTATATTACGGTAAATAAGACATTATAGATCTTTTTGCTGCATAGTTCAGTGCACTGTAAATAACAGCTATCTAGCCGTACTTATAATAAGCTTAAAGCTTACAATTAGATCGTGTGAAGGCGAGCTAAAGCATAAACACAAAAACCGCCTTTTACAATGTAAGCAGAGTTTTAATACAGTTCGAGTTATTTATGCAATCATGTAAATAATAAAATATAAATACGAATTTGAAGAAATATTTATTTCAACTGTTGTGTGTAGTTTCGGCGATGATTTATTTAAGGGAAGTCTTAAACATTTCCAGGATTTATATGTACCTATCTAGTCTGCCATTTCTTACAACAGGAGCGTAGCAGATTCGTTTTTATTACTACGGCACAAAAGCACGAACTGAATTAGTATTAAAGTGTAAATGTAATTATATTTGTAATGTAATTATTGAACCCTAGATAAAGACCTCTCCCCCGCTCACATGCTAGAGTAAGATAATTTTTTCGCCTTCTTTTTTAAGTACATCCCGTGCTATTTCTCCACTCTTAAGATTTTTTTATTGAATTTTTAATTCCGTTTACGTGCTAAAGATCCGTGACATACCGACGGACAGACAGATAGGCTGACAGAGACACAGACAGCAAAGTGACATTAATAGAGCTTTGTAAGCAAAGGGTAAATCTTTAGGTACGAAACCCTTAAAAGAAAGAATTGTAGACTTGATAATCTCTGTCTTCTTTTAAATATACATTTGCTTTTATTTAAATTTTTCAATATTAAAAGAAGCAAGGTAGTAGTTATTTAATAAAATCAGTGAAATGGTAGAGCACCCTATTCTTTATGATAAAATAAATGGTACAGAAAAAGTTACGCTTGAGTACACCCAATAAGTCGATCCGACAAACGCAAGGTGTTGAGTAATTGCGTTGCATCGGATCTTTGGTAAAACGTAGGATGCGCTCCAGCGATAATTAGTGATTTTCTATTTATAGGGTTCAGGGGTGATCAACTATCTCACTTAGTGGTATAAATGGGCAGACAAGTGGTATATATATATATCTTTATATATGTAAACTACGTGTCACGTTGTTTGTCCGCGATGGATTCCTAAACTACTTAACCGATTTTGATCAAATTTGCACACCGTGTGCATTTTGGTCCAACTTGAGAGATAGGATAGTTTTTTTGCCCATGAGTGACCCACAATTTTTTTTTGCGTATTTAAGGATTTTTAAAAGGGCATGACAAAGGGTCGTCGAACTGGGCGAGTGTAACTTTAGTTGCTGTGGGAAGGAAATTACGTAATGTACGTAAAGAGCTTAACGCAACAAACATTTTTCTACTGACTTTACTAACCTGTGAGGTTCAAGACACACAGGAGTCAAGATACAACCCCAGGTTTTTAACCTTGTTACTGTAAGGGATTAGAGTGCAGTCTAGTATAATAGGGGGTAGGGAAGACCAGTCAATTTTAAAAATTAATCTAGAACTACCGATGACAATGACCTGAGTTTTCTTAGGATTAATCGTTAAACCATAACATTTACTCCAATTCGAAATACAAGTCAGATCAGCGTTAATAGTGTCAACTGCTTTAGATAGATCTTCAAGAGAGGACTGAGTATAGATTTGGAGATCATCAGCATACAAGTGGTAGGAAGAGGACAAATTATGACTTCTAGAGTTAATGAAAATTGCAAAAAGGAGAGGAGACAACACGCCACCTTGTGGTACACCAGCAGCTGTAGTAGTCCAGGTGGAAAAAACCTCTTGCACCTGAATTCGCTGTCAACCAAACAAGTAACTTCGAAACCAGTCAACTACAGTTGGAGATATGTTGAGAGAGCGTAGGATGCTTAACAAGATATCAAAATCATGCGTAAACCGGATTGCAAGGGATTTAAAAGATTGTGTTTTAAAAGATAGGTGCTTAAGTGATTGTGCACAAGATTTGACTTTAATTTATTATTATTTATTCCTTCCCGTTTGGAAAAGGCTAACACGTAATTTATATATATATATATATATATATATATATATATATATATATATATATATATATATATATATATATATATATATATATATATATATATATATATATATATATATATATATATATATAAATTACGTGTCACGTTGTTTGTCCGCGATGGACCCCTAAATTACTTAACCGATTTTAATCAAATTTGCACACCGTGTGCAGTATGGTCCAACTTGAAAGATAGGATAGTTTTTTTTGTCCCTGAGTGAACCACAATTTTTTTTTACGATTCTGAGTATTTTTAATAGGACATAACAAAGGGTCGTCGAAAAGGGCAGAACAACGTCTGCCTGGCAAGCCACTTTTACATATAAATATTTATTTTCTTTTTTTTATCACCCCGCAATATTCCATGGCCATGGGACACATCCATAATATGAAGAATTTGCCGTACTTGCTACGCTTGGCAGACGAAATGACAATCTCAGTATCCGAAGTCTTGCACATTTGACGCTGCTGGCTATGACAGCTCTGAGTATTTTACGTCTGGAATGTAGGTGAGGTGTACCATATATTTTCTTTGTGGCTTGTCTAATGACAATTCTGACAAGGCAAACACATTCATAAGTTTATTGAAATCTATTTATAATAATGCTCTGTATACTGTTGTCCATCTCAATATCTCATTGTTTGTTGACTAGGCCTGTGTCTATCTCTAGTCTCTGTGTCTATGTCCTAGGGATACCTTAATACTAAATTATTTACGACTTTATACTTTAAAATCTTTTTATTTTCCTTAACAAGTTTATATACAGATTGAAACCTCTTAAATTCTATTTTCAAAATTTAAGTGTAAATTTAAAAAAAAAAAACAAAAGAAAAAAGAAAATACGGCGGCAATTTCGTTAGTAATTCGTTACTTCAAGGAAAATTAAAATTGCTCTAATGATATTAATTAATGGAAAGGGATAAGATTGTTGTTCTTTTTTAATTTAACGTGCCGTGTGAGCTTTAACCCTCTGTAACGTATGGTAGACTACAGGCAACATACCGTTTCACCTTTCCTAAATTCTCCAAGTAAAATTAATTCGTTTTTTCAAGCAATGTAGAGTATTGTCTACACTCTCTTCTTTCAATTTAGTACAAGCATGTCAAACTAGATGTCGCTACTTGCCTCAAACAACGAAATATCGTTAGTGAAGTGAAAAGTTTCAAATGCTCAGAGTATGTTAAAAGACAAAAAATATAAGAAAATAGTTATTTTGTTTTTTGGTGTTTCTTTTCTTGATAATCTGTAAGGTAAGTGTTTATAGTTTACCATATTATTATATTTTTGCTGATAATTTACAGTTTTTATGTATTAGGTGACTATTAGTGTTTGTGTCTTGTAGGCTACATTGTGCGGAAAGGGGAACTATCTTGTACGAACACTGTGGATATTTACACTCGTTATTATTTTGTTTTAGCATGGCTCACCAAATTCACCTAAATGAAAACGAAATCGCCTGCGCACTTCAATGTGATTTAAGTGAAGATGGACTCGACTTAGATGACGATAGTTTGATGGATCCTGACTTTGAACCAGATTTTGAAGAGTCGATTGACGAATCTTTGGAAGCTGAATTCGACATAGATGCACTAGTAGACACCTTGAATGATGACGACCGTAACTCCAACTTTGAGGTAGAAGTAGGGCCGGCCTTATCTAGTTCAGACATTCCAGGTACTTCAGATCCCCCCTGTAAAACGTCGAAAGCCTGAAAAGCTAACATTACGGTGGAAAAAGAAGAATTTAGAGCTGAATGCACAGCAGCTGGCTTTTACTGGCAATGAGTCATTGAGTTCTGATATCTTGGACCTTGATACTCCAATACAGTTCTTTCTTTTTTTATTTCCACCAGAACTCATAAAGAGAATTTCGGCAGAGACAAACCTCTACGTGGTACAAAAAGACCCAAACAGCACGTTTCGTGTATCGGAGACAGAAATGCGTCAATTTATAGGGGTAGTATATATGATGTCACTGATTCAGCTACCCAGAGTGACCAACCACTGGAGTTCCGTCTTGGGTACACCTGTAATTCAACAGACCATGCCTTCTAATAAATTTGAAAAGATTAGACAATATCTGCATTTTAATGATAACACTAAATGTCTACATAGGACCCACCCTGACTCCGATAGGATCTTCAAAATTCGCCCAGTCGTTGATGCCTTGAACGAATCTTATGGTAAAGTTCCATTAGAAAAACAACTTTGTGTAGATGAGCAAATTTGCTCTACAAAAGCGCGTAACATGCTGAAAAGGTATAATCCCAAGAAACCGCATAAGTGGGGTTATAAATTATATGTTTTGAGTGGTGTTTCCGGTTTTGCTTATACAATAGAGATTGAATCTGGCAAAGAGAATGTTGTCAGACCCGACGAGCCAGATTTAGGAGCTTCTTCCAATGTAGTAGTGAGATTATCGCGTATGATTCCGCGACACCAAAATTACAGGCTCTATTTCGATAACTACTTCACATCCTTGCATCTTTTGGAATATTTAGCAAAAGAAGGTATTCTTGGGCTAGGTACTATTAGAAGGAATAGAATACCTGACTGCAAGCTGTCGTCAGAAAAAAGAGATTATGAAGAAAGATCGAGGATATTCTGAAGAGTACATAGCTGATGTCAACGGCGTCGACGTGTCAACGGTTGTATGGAAGGACAATAAGCTTGTTACATTGGCTTCCACATTTGCTGGTCTAAATCCTATAAGCGAAGTCCGGAGATACGACAAAAAGAACTCAAGATACATAAACATCCCGCGACCTAATGTTGTGAGCGAGTATAACCGTCATATGGGCGGTGTGGACCTTGTAGATAGCATTATGGGCATCTACAAGATAAAACTGAGAAGCAAACGTTGGCAGATGCGTCTCTTCTATCACTTCTTAGACCTAACAATGGCTAATGCATGGCTGTTCTATAAAAGAGTCTGCAAGTATAAAAACATTCCCAACAAGACCATCATGGCATCTGCAGATTTTCGCCTGGAAATTGCCGAAACATTGTGCAAGATGGGGGTGAAAACGGGTTTAACAATACGCCGATCTATTGAAGGTCAAATCCTAGCAAAGAAACACAAAGGACCTGCCCAACATGTACCTCCACAAGCAGTCCGCCAAGATCAAGTCGGTCACTGGCCTCAATGGGCAGAAAAAAAAATCCGTTGTAAGTTCCCAAAGTGTGCTGGATTTACTCATACGGTGTGTGATAAATGCGGCGTAGCTTTATGTTATACCAAAAACAAAAATTGTTTCAGGAATTTCCATCTGTTGTAACTGATTTACATTCTTCTCAATTAAAGTGATATTAACTAATTTTTACTGTTGTAACTCATTGTTGCCTAGGAGCTACACTCCCTTTTTTGTAGTATTATGCTTGATTTATAAAAAATTACATAATTTTAAAAAATACGTATTTTATTAATTTCATAATCCTATCCGATTCCATGAAAAATATGTAATTTAAAGATTTTGAGTTATAGAGGGTTAAGAGTCATGTCACGTCGTCATTTGAGTCGAGATTAAATACCGGCCGTGGGAATGTTAGAAAATGGTGCTATTCAACGCGTCATCGCTGAGGCCCTACACAGCAGCCAAAACGTATATCAAGGCTGTGGTCAAGTTACCGCAGTACTGGGAATGTGGGTGAACAGCACATTGGTAGATACTAACAAAGACTCACAGAGGCCGGAACTATTTCTCCAAATGACCGCCAGAAGACAACCTAATATCACAGCGATACAACTACTACATAGGCTCCAGGAGAACCACCAGCTGCTGGTAAGCGAACAAACGGTGCGAAGGAGGCTGCATTAAGTTGGTGTTCATGCTCGAAGACCGCTACGTGTAAAAAGCATTGCGACGTGGCAATCGCGGTCAGCTGCTTTCATGGGTTCGGGAGCATTTACCATGAAGTGACGAACAATGGTCTTTGGTGCTGTTCACCGATGAGTCCCGGTTTGGGTTTGGAACACGTCTTTGGAGAACTCCAGGGAGAATTAACTATCTACGGCACCCTCAGAAGGTTCACTCATACCAAGGCGGGACAATCATAGTGTGGGCAGGAATTCGTCTTGGCGGACGAATCCAGCTCGTTTGGATCTAAGGTAACATGACTGCACAACAATACCACGAGGAGATAGAAGAGCCTGTTATTGCTCCACACAGAACCAAATGGACCAGGAATTTCTACTCACGCTCGACTATGCTCCTTCCCTTACGGCGCGGCTGGTGTCGGCCGCTCTCCGAGAACACTATATTCATGTTTTGAATTGGCCTGCACAGTCGCCCGACATAATTCCTATGGAGCATGCCTGGGACATTTTACAACGAAAAGCTTTGAGAGATTTTCCGCTAAATTTTACGACGGAACAACAACTTTACGAAAACTTACAAAGAACTTGGGACCTCATACCGCAGCTAGACATTGACAATTTAATTTTAAGTATGAACAATCGATGTCGATGTGTAATTAATGTAAAAGGTCGTAACACTGATTATTAATAATTGGATTTTGTAAGATTTTTTTATTTTAATTAAAATTAATAGTTTTGCAAGAAGAAATTAAGTTTTTTTATCATTCTAATTCGTAACGACGATTAAAAAATCAACATTTTTATTTAACACAATATAATTACGAAATATTTTTTATTAAAGACCTTAAAATAACTTATCATACTTCCATTTACTATATCAGAAAATTCGTCAAAAAAGGATTTTTTTAGTATTACTAGCCTCTGAAGGAATATTTTCCTCAAATAATAATGTTATCATTGCGGTGGCATTGTCCTCAGTACTATTATCGAATATGTCACTCATTAATAGGTCACCGCTGTCATACAGAGAAATATCTGTCCAATCCGAATGCGTTACATTCATTACTCCTATTTTTCCTTAGCGAATTTTACACGACATTCAAGGGACGAAATCGGGGCGATGGATATTTTACGCCGCATACATCTGTCAATGTAATGAAGATGTCGTATATAATGATTAAGACTACTTTTACGGATTTTATCGTGTTTATTTATTTTATTTTTAATACCCGACGTTTCGGGTGCTTTCCAGCACCCATGGTCACGGGGGACGTCAGTCACCTCAGTCCCCATTAAAAATAAAATAAATAAACGCGATAAAATCCGTAAAAGTAGTTTTAATCAATGCGTAGTGTTCGCGTAAATATAAGAAATCATTACGTCGTATATATCTTTTAATAGAGAATAAGAGTGACAATCGAGCACACATGTACATTTATCTTCGATTAAGAATTAAAAGGCAGATATGTCGTCACCCCTGAGGACTAAGATGGAATGCCTCGTTACCAGTCAAGGGGCTCTCCGGTTCTCTAAACTAAACGAAACACAGCATCATTAAGGGGAAATATAATGTCAAATGGCTTAGCAAGATCCTTCGTTATGCCGAAAATATTGCAGCATTAATTTTGAAATAAATATATGGTAAAGTTGAGGATTAATGTTAATGATTATGTTAGACGAAAACACGACTTCGTAAAATTTTCTCGATAGAAAAAAAATCCAAAGTTACCTCCAAAATAAACAATAAACCGCTGTTATTCATAAAATACTTTAAATAAGATCATGAAACTTTGCATACTAACTGAACTAACTATAAAGCAGTGCTTATGTTATTTACTTTTTTTAAAATACCATTATTTGAACTGTAAAAAGAAATTACCTGAACTATCGGCGTCTTGAACTTGATTCCTGTCGCCCGTTAGTATCGCTTAGGCTTTTGAAGGGAGAAGTTGTGTCGCTTACGATCAGAATATACATTACGCAACAGTACGACGTAAAATTAAAATGGGAAATAACCGTGATAAAAATAAGAAGCGGCTGGCTTGGCGTTAAGAAACAGTCATAAATATGATAAACCTAATGAAATAAGTGTCTAACGACCTTTCTACTTACAGTATTAGTGATTACAAACATATCGGTACATAGCATACGACGCGCGGGGAAGTGGGGGCGAAATTAGAATTTGAGCTGACTTACTCTATCCTCTTAAGCTGCTATTTTATGCCGGTATTTTGTGAGAGCGAGTAAAAGTAATATCCATACTTGCTTGTGTATTGCATGCACGAGAGTCTTACTACGTTCGGATGATAAGATGCACTATGTGCTAGTTGGATAGCCAGCCGCTAAGTAAAGTAGTGGCACGAAAGTCAAGCGGTGACCCTTACTATGCATAAGTCGAAAGTAAGGTATAATAGGGTAGTAAGCGGATCGCGGGGTGGACGTGCGTATCATTCGCAAGCGCTGATTGTCTCTCCAATCGCATTCCGTCATCCGTACTGATACATGCGCAGCTATCCCCTACACGTTTCGTTCAGAGCTAGACTTACGTTCCGCGACTTGTACGCATTGCTGTAAGAACATAACAACACGACGTGGTGTAACAACAACTTTAATTAACGCGAATTAGGCCTCTGAATCGAGGTCAAGAATATTTAGCGCGTGTACAAACAACAACAAAGAGTTAAACAAAATATATGCTAATTTTCGTTGTTTCAATTAACAATGTATCGTAAGCATGTTGTTAATTCGATGATGCCACGTGGCTGCTGTAGCTCATGGACAACTGTAGTTTAAAACGAAACATCGATATGTTTTCGCCAGCCAGCACTGAAGGACTACGTCTCATATCCATATGTCATCACCGGCAATACGAAGTGGTTTATTACACTCTTATTTTGGTGTCCATGTTCATTTTACGACAAATTCGCTGGGAGACACTAATCAGTTTTTTTTTATAGGAGGTGGGTGACAAACGAGCACACAGTCCACCATGGTAAGTGGATGCTGTGGCTCATAGACATCTACATTTACCCCCGATTAAGAACTTAAATGCAGATGCGTTGCCTTGAGGATTATAGTGAAATGCCTCGTTTCCAGTAAAAAGGGTCTCCGTTTCTCTACACTCACCGTACGAAACACAGCAGCTGGTATTCTGTGAGAGCGTGGTCCTTCCCTAGTCGAGCCGACCCACTCGTACTACAACCATAATAAAGCTGCAGCATGGCTCTACCACGTGTAAAATTTATATAATATTATATTATTGGGAATACTGCTAAGGTTGCCAGCGATTCTGATATAATGACTTTGTCGTCGGCAAATAAAAATGACATAACAATAAGTTTTACTATAGTCTTTTCAGATTACAAAGCTATTAGTATATAAATTTGATCTTTTACTGCAGTCTGGTTAAAGTTTTTTTTAACTTTTTTAACCGAGTTCCAAAAACGAGAAGGTTCTATATTCGTCTCGTATGTATTTTTAATGTTTGTTCTCGGGCACCTGAGCACTCTCCATTCCTTTAATTTCGTAGTTCGAAGGTGCGGCAATACGAAACGACCGGAGAGAGTTCAGGCACAGGACCTTGCTTTACGTGCTTTGCGAGACACGGGGGCAAAACATCACCGACTTCCTGACTCGAAATTCTCAGTAGTAGTGGGCTACCACTATACTAATGAGGCAGTCAATTATAAATAACCCCTTAGAATTAAACTGGTACTAATAAAGAAAGTAAACTCGTTAATTAGCATCATATTAATATCATTTTTAATTTCACAGTCGGGACACAGGTCTTTCCAAGAATGTTCCAGCTGGTTTCATCACTTGAAAATTCCTCAGCGCGGTCATCAGATATGTTACTGTCATGATTAGGACACAGGCCTTCACAAGAATGCACCAGCTGGCATGCAGTCCCTACTTGGAAATTCCTCAGCGCATCCATCAGATATGCTACTGTCATGATTAGGACACAGGCCTTCACAAGAATGCACCAGCTGGCATGCAGTTCCTACTTGGAAATTCCTCAGCGCATCCATCAGAGACGCTTCTCTCATGATTAGGACACAGGCCTTCACAAGAATGCACCAGCTGGTATGCAGTTCCTGCTTGGAAATTCCTCAGCGCATCCATCAGAGACGCTTCTGTCATGATTAGGACAGAGGCCTTCACAAGAATGTACCAGCTGGCATGCAGTTCCTACTTGGAAATTCCTCAGCGCATCCATCAGAGACGCTTCTGTCATGATTAGGACACAGGCTTTCACAAGAATGCACCAGCTGGCATGCAGTTCCTACTTGGAAATTCCTCAGCGCATCCATCAGAGACGCTTCTGTCATGATTAGGACACAGGCCTTCACAAGAATGCACCAGCTGGCATGCAGTTCCTACTTGGAAATTCCTCAGCGCATCCATCAGAAACGCTTCTGTCATGATTAGGACACAGGCCTTCACAAGAATGCACCAGCT